GGCACCTTTTTAATGCCACTTTTTCTCCCAGACCTGCTTTCTCTATTTGCACCACATTCCTGGTCCTCCTCATCACTATCTCATAAGATAACACTCTCTTCTCTGTGTGCTGTTCTACCTCATTGCTTTACTTCTTCCATAACCTCTGGCAGCCAGATTGCTTCTGTGTCTGTCCTGTGTATCTCTGCTTCTGGTCTTCACTGGCCCACATGGCTGCTATTTCTAATGTGGGGTCCACAAAAGCAATAACAAAGCCATCTTCACTTGACACCCAGTCATACATTGAACTGAGCACACAGCCCAGGGATAAGAGAGCTAAGGAAAGGACTGCCAAGTAGAGTGTTCAGATTATCATGTAGATCACATCCACATCAATGTAATTAATTTTGTTAGGGCAAATTTTATAGCATTTTACCACTTTTTTAATGTATGTTTATATATTTTAATGCTGGTTTAAAGCAGCATTGCTGGGAAGACTGGTGAAGGAAAAGCTTGATAATTATCATTCTGAAGGATTATAGTCTCCATGTATTTCTCATAAAATTAGCACATTGAAATCTAAATATATCTGTGAAGTCATGTTTTTATTAAACTTAATCTAAGTAGATGGAATAATCACAGATAATTGCTGTGATGAATGCTAGTCTCATTTTTGGGAATAGAGTACATTACAATCATTAAGATATATTAACTAATTCTTTCTGCACATAAATTTATTGCTTTTAAACCCTGTATACTTCTCTTCCTTATATCCTAGTTACTCTGATAGAAATGCCACCCAACAACTCATGCTAGCACATTTAAATTTACTTCTCTGAATAATGTTGCCAAAAAAACCAATTTAATTTCAATAAAATCCAGAACATTACACAGATATTATTCATTTATATGAGTATTTTAAAAGCAGGCTGAATTGGTATTTAATACAATTTAAAGGCTAAAAATACCTACTAAAAGGTTTCATGCATCATTTAGCAATACAACCCATTTTCTCTTTTCTTTTGCAGACTCACTGTTGAATTTAAATTTAACCTTTGGTTAGGTGTCATTATACTCTCAGAAAAGTCATGTTGGCTTTCACCTCTTACTTTTCCAAAAGATACATCAGAATTTTGGAGAAATATTTTATGATTCAAAGATGTGTATTTGCAAACTTGGATTTTTCTTTACAGAAATAGCCACATTGAATAAAAGTTTGACTGTGTCCCAGAGAAATAAGGTATGCCTTGAAGAGGAAATGAAAAATCTGAAATTATTATCAGATGCAGCCATATTGAGATCTCAGCAGATTCAGGCATCAAATCAACAGGAGGTGAACTTGCAAACCAGATGCTATGATTTGCAAAGAGAAGTACTAGGTAAAAGAAAATTATTCTTTGCTGTTGTTAGCAACTAGCTATTATAAGGAAATGTCTAAATTTTCATTTATCTCACAGTGCCTACAAAATGTTGTTTTAATTACTTTTTGTTACAACTATACCTAAGCCACTCCTCGGAAGGAAGGTTGGGCAATCCTACTTCCGTAGTGATACTGCCTCGGAAACCCAAGGAGGGGTCGCTATGAGTCAGGGCCGACTCGACGGCACATAACAACAACAACAACAACAACAATACCTAATTATAAGGAGCTCTGGTGGCATAGTGCCTAAGGCATTTGACTACTAACCAGAAAGTTAATGGTTCAAACCCACCAGCCAATCCATGGAAAGAAGACTGGGCAATCTACTTCTGTAAAGATTTACCACCTTGGAAACCCAAAGGGGGTCGCTGTGAGTCAGAATCGACTCGATGGCAATGAGTTTTTTGGGTTTTTTTTATAAATACCTAGTTATCATGACTATGATAATAACTGTCTGTGATCAGTGTTTGCTCTCAGTTTATGTTCTGCCATTTGCAGTGTTAAGATTTAAGTGAATATATTAAAGACATCTCAAATACAAGTAAGATGTCAGGAGAATGAAATGGAATTTACTTTGTATGTCATTATTCCCAATGGATTGCTAGTTTAAGGTGCTAAAGGAAAATGTAACATTTTTAGGCACTCATTCATTTTCCCACAAGATTTAAAATTGTGTTTTGAGTACCTAGGCAATGATTTTAATTTCTTTATGTCTCAGAGGAAAGAGTATCTTAGCAGTTAGGCTAAGGAATCATTGGGATTTGTTAATCAGGAGAATGATATAACCAAAGCAGTGTTTTAGCAAAATTAATCTGTTCGCAATAACAAAAAAATGTTCCAAGCATCAAAAGATTGGAGCCAGGTAAGTAGCCAGTTGGAAAATACCCTTGCTGGTAACTCAGTCCCAAAAGTAACCATAAGAGACTAAAGTAGGGAAGGCAACTAACATTTCTTAGGTCCTAATTTACGTTAGACACCATGAAAACACTTTAAATAAATTACTTCTGTCAATTGCCAGAGTGACCGTGAAAAGTAGGTACAATTATCCCATCTTACAGAGGAGAGCACCAAGGCCCAGAAAGGTAGCGTGCCATGCATGGTACCATAAACCATACGAAATAGCTTGTAAATAGCAGGTAGGGAAAGCAAACTTAATCAGATGCTATGGCTCATGCTTTTCCCTCTGTGTCTACTTGGCTTTCTCCACAGACACAGTGAAAAGGCTCAGACAGAATCAGGGTGAAAAGTACTATGCAGGACTGGGGAGGTAAACAAACCTGTCTGAATGGAAAAGAGATAAAGAAGTCACAGATGGCTCTGTGCTCGGGAGTCCTTAATGACAGGAGCATACTGCAGATGAGGGAAGCAGAACCAGAAAGAGAGAGATTTATTTTCAAGAATTGGTTCACGTGATTGTGAACCAATTTGGCTGACAAATCCAAAATATTGGTCAGGAGATGGGCTGGAAATTCTGGCAGGATGTCAATTTACAGTCTCAGGACAGAATCCTTTTGTCTTAGGAAACCATTTTCGTTTTAAAGGCCGTTAACTTATTCGATGAGGTATGAATCCACATTATGAAGGATAATTTGATTTATTTAAGGGCAGCTGGTTTAAATGTATATAATACATTTAAATGTAATTACAACTATGTAAATACCTTCAGAGCAATATCTAAACTAGTGTTTGATTGAACAACTGGGTACCATACGTAACCAAATTGACACATAAGATTAACTATCACAAGTACCTAATAAAACTTTTCTCTCCTTACTCTTTATACTTTTTTTTCCATATTCATAGACACTTATTCTTCTACATGAACTTTAAAATAACTTTGATTCCAACAGGGATTCTAAATGGAATTGCTGTATAGGTACATGTCATTTAATGCCTATGATACATTCTGTGAAATAGGGTGCTGTAAAATTTGGACATTATTTGAACACCATATTAAAACTTTATGGAAGCCTTCTGATTGCCCTTGTCACTGCTGCTGCTGCTGCTGCTGGAGCTCTGATAGAGGATAGAGGAACAGACAACAGCAGTGATGGTACCTGGGAGGGCAATGGTAGGAGGGAAGTGAGAGGAAGCAAGTGGGAAGAGAGTGGTGCCTGTCCAGCACTGCCCACTATTCTGCCTGTCTGAGCAGCAGGAGCAGCCTGGGCCCAGCAACTGCTACTGCCACCACTTGCCTGCCCACCAAACAAAGTCTGAGAACCAGTGCCCAGAATCATGTCCTTTGTCTCACCTGTTTGTATCCCACTTGTGGTCCGGTACTACAAGAATCTGGATTTGGGATCTTTAAAACCATTACCCACTGCTGTCAAGTGAATTTTGACTCATACTGACCCCCATTGGGTTTCCAAGGCTGTAAATCTTTATGGAAGTAGTTTTCCTCATCCTCCCTCTGTGGAGCATCTGGTGGGTTTGAAACTCTGAACTTCTGGTCAGCAGCTAAGTATCTTACCCATTATGCCACTGGACCTCCTTTTAAAACCAGTTGTTGTTATGTGCCATCGAGTCAGACCCAACTCATAGTGACCCCTCCTTGGGTTTCCAAGGCAGTATCACTACGGAAGTAGATTGTCCAACTTTCCTTCCAAGGAGTGGCTGGTGGGTTTGAACCGCCAGCCTTCTGGTTAGCAGTCAAGTGCCTTAGGCCCTATGTTACCAGAGCTCTTTTTAAAACCAGTAGGGGAAAGTAATAAACAAAAGGAGAGCTGCTTTCCTTTTTTTAAAAAAGAAAAGAAAAAAACTTATGGACATATATGTGGTTGGATATTGCCTGAATGGACATGAAGTGACACATAACTGTCTGTGTATGTATATATGTGTATTGAATATTTGAATATTGAGTAATTGAATATCCAGCCTTCTGATTAGCAATCAAATGCCTTAGGCATTATGCCACCAGAGCTCCCTATTACTGACTATCTTATCGTTTTTGCCTCAATTTTTTAATGAACTATTTTCCTATTTTAATTACTGTTTGTTGATAGAATAGAAAAAATGTATACTGATTTTTATATACTTGTCTTATATCCTTTTACAATTCTCATATTCTAATAAATTTTTATTAGGCTCTCTTGGATTTTCTGGTTATATAGTTATATCATTAGTCGCTATATCCCCCAAAAATAAGTTTATCAATTCTTCTCCAGTTTGTATGTTATTTTATTTTGTCTTGTTCATGTCTTATTAAATTCATTTGGCTCAAGATAGCTAGTTCAGAAGAGGATGTGAAACTACGGATATCATTGCTGATGTCAGATGGCTGTTGGTTGAAATAGAAGAATATCAGAAAGATGTTTACCTGCCTGTTATTGATTCTGCAAAGGCATTTGTCTCTGTGGATCATAACAAATTATGGATAACATTGCAAAGAATGGGAATTCCAGAACACTTAATTGTTCTCATGAAGAACCTTTGCCTAGACCAAGAGACAGTTGTTTGAACAGAACAAGGGGGTCTTGCATGGTTTAAAATCAGGAAGGGTGTGTATCCTTTAATCATACTTATTCAATCTGTATGCTAAGCAAATAATCCAAGAAGCTTGGCTATATGAAGAAGAACTCAGAATTAGGATTGGAGAAATACTCATTAACAACCCACAATGTGCAGATGACAAAACTTTGGTTGCTGAAAATGAAAATGACTTGAAGCATCTATTGATGAAGATCAAAGATCACATCTTCAATATGGATTATACCTCAAAATAGAGAAAACAAAAATCTGCACAACTTGACCAATAAGCAACTTAATGATAAATGGAGAAAAGGTTGAAGTTGTCAGGGATTTCATTTTACTTGGATCCACAGTCAATACCAATGGAAGCAGCAGTCAAGAAATCAGATGTTGTGTTGCACTGGGCAAATCTGCTGCAGAAGAACTTTTAAAAGTGTTTAAGAGCAAAGATGTCACTTTGAAGACTAAGGTGCATCTAACCCAAGCCTTGGTATTTTCAGTTGCCTTTTATGCATGTGTTAAGCATTTGACTGCTAACCAGAATGCTGGCAGTTCAAACTCACCAGCCACTCCTCAGAAGGAAAACTGGGCAATCTACTTCTGTAGAGATACTGCCTTGGGAACCCAAGGAGGGGTCACTACAAGTTGAGACCAACTCGATGGCAGTGAGTTTTTTAGTTTCTTATGCATGTGAAAGTAGGACAATGAATAAGGAAGACCAAAGAAGAGTTAATGCCTTTGAATTATGGTGTTAGTGAAGAATTCTGAAAATACCATGGACTGCCAGAAGAATGAACAACTCTGTCCTGGAAGAAGTGCAGCTAGAACGCTCCTTAGAAATGAGAATGGCCAGACTTCATCTCATCTACTTTGGTCAAGTTATCAGAAGGGACCAATCCCTGGAGAAGGATATCATGGTTAGGAGAGTAGAGCATCAGGGAAAAAGGGGGATACTTTCAATGAGATGAATTGACACAGTGGCTACAATGATGGGCTTAAGCATAACAAAGATTGTGGTGATGGTGCAGTGTTTCGTTCCACTGTACACAGGGTTGCTACACATCAGAGCCAACTCGATGGCACCTAACAACAATAATATCACATAGTGAAGAGCCATAAAATTGTATATATGTTATAAATTACAATCTTGTCAAAATAGATATATTTGTGACTAGAAACCAGAAGGGAAATAAAGATATGAAAATAAATCTTATGGTTACAGAAATATGTGATTATTTCCCCTCTTTTAAAATTTGCTCAGATGTTAATGACAAATGAGCTTTCCTCAAAAAACAGAATCCTACACATCATTCAAAATTTAGCTCATATTCCACCTCCTACAATAAAGAACCTCCCCAAAACAGTATAATACTAATTATCCATGATTTTTATACTCAGTAAGGCCTCACCTTCACTAAGTGAAATCTATATTCAAATCAAAAGTACAGCTGGAAACTGATCTCTTGAGTACAAGCATACCTCATTTTATTG